TCCTTGCTTTCTACTTGTCTTTTCTCTTGGCAGTGCTGCCCAGCTAAGCGAAGGTTCCACATGAAAGAGCTTTCAGAGCTACAGGAAATAACGTTGCTCTGAAGCTCTCAATGGAGCAAAGAAGGAGTGTATGTATATTTACTGTAACAGCTATCATGCTCCAGATATGAACTGGTCATTACAAGGAACCACGTGAGAATTACTTTGCTGTATGATTGTGTGTTTCTGCCTTGAATTTCATAGCATATATGTTGTAGCGGAATTAGAAATATATTTTTGTTCATTTGAGTTGCTTTCCCATTACTGTATACCACCATCTGAGATGGTTTGAGTGACCCACTTGCTACAATTCTCCCTGGAAATTTTTTATTGGTTGCTCACTCATCTACCCACTCCTGATTCCCTTCCTTCCTTCTTTTGACTGTTTCAAACTTTAAACAAATTTATTATCAAAACCTTGGCAACCTGACAGATATTTTTGTGATAAAATTGTGGCTTTTGTTTGTACAATTTTATTGTCTTTTATTTAAAAGGAAAGAGAATTATCAAGAACAAACTACATTCTTATATATACTTGGTTATAGATATATACATAGAAAACCAAGTATATATACATTCTTATATGTACTTGATTAGCCCAAAGTCTTTTTCAGGTTCTAAAGAGTATGAGAAAGGACCAGCTCCCACCTCCACTAACTCCTCCTCCATTACTCCACAGAGAGGGGGTCTCTGTGCTTGTAATGACAGCTCCTTGCTGCTGTGTTAGGAGCACTGATGTCCTGCCTATTTCTTTCTGCTCTGTGCTCCCTCCTAAGTATTCAGACGATTCAGACACTGAGGGGAGCTTCTGAACTTTTAGGATCTTTCTCTTAGATTTGTTTCCTCCTTGCTCTTCTCTTTCCTCTCTACCCAAATGCTTCCTCGTCTCTGCTTAGCCAGAGAAGGGACAGGTTGTGATGCCATCTCCATCTTGATAAGATTTCCAGAAAGACCAAGTTCTCTAGGCTTTTCCCCTATGACTCCAGGGCAGGATTACTTTGAGACAGAGATTTTTGTCTGAGCTTGTCACAGCTGGGAGTGCAGACAGAATATGTGGCTGTCTTAGAATAAGTAAGCCTACCTTAGATTTGCACCTGTAGCCCAGGAGGAAGCAGCTTTGTAATTTGTCAGCCTCCCAGCCCCCCAAGAAAGGGACGTTGACATCATCGTAGTTATATTATCAACACGTAGTAGTAATGGGTCTCGGCATTTAGTAAATCCTCAACCTCACTTGCTTAATGAATGACCATTTGGTTATTAACCCAACTACGAGTAGGATTTCTTAGACTTTACTTCTCTGATTTTGTTGAGTGAACGTTTTATGAGAACTGAGCAAGGGTTCATTAGGTCATTGGAAAACAAGAGTGAATTTTCACCCAGAAAAACTTTAGGCTTCAGAAACTCATTTTGTTTATCTGTCCATCTTCAGTGGTTGATTTGCTTATGTATTGCGTCTTATTTATAACACTACATTGCTATGGAAATTTAGTGCTATACTGTTCCCTTCCCAGCCTTAGCAAATTTTATTCCGAACATTTCCAGAGCTGCTTGTCCCATGTACAAGCTTAATGGAGCAGCAATCTCACGTGGTTTTTAAACATTAACTATTGAACAAGTTTAAAACTACAAACAGAGAAAAAAGATGTCAATCAAATTTGGACACATATATGTAATAACATGCAACAGAATGTCAAAAACATCACCTACTGCTTAACCACTTTATCAGAATGAAAGCCTCCTCTGGCATCTGTATTTTATTTACATACAAAAGGACGTATCTGCCCTGGAGTCAGATTCTAGTTGGGTAGTCTGTGTAGCCACTGACACTGTCCCTTACGTTTAACTATAAACTTAATTCAGAAATCCTTTATTGGGTGCTTGTCACATACCAGCTACTTGAAAGTTGTGGTGGTGAAGAGATGTTGAACATTGGCCACGTGTTGTATGATGTTCTGTCTGCTTTACAAATATTGCTTTGTTTAATCCCCATTTTAACCCTTTGAAGTAGACATTACTGTCTTATTTTGAAGAAGAGATAGAACACAGGGAGCGCCCTAGATCCCACGGCCTGTGTGAAAATTTTAGATACAGTATTCCAGGTCAGGTGTGTGAATACAGCTTCCCAAGAGCTAGTTCTGGGCAGAAGATTTAAGACACAAATTTTTTTACTCAGAGATGAAAAATACAATTGGTTTTGGTCACTTTTAAGAATAATTGTGGTGTGTGTTACGTTCATGTTAGAGCAGTATCTCATGGGGAAAAGACCTTTTGTTTTGGGAGGTAAAGAAGTTAATAAAGGAGAAAATTCAGGGATAAAGTGAAAGGGCAGGATGGTGGGGGAGAAAGAGGAAGAGGAGGAAGAGGAGAAAGAGGCGGAAGAGGAGTCGGGGGAGGGGAGAGGCAGAAGGGACAAGGGATCAGCATGTGATGCAACCAGAATAGTTATCCAGTCATCCTAAAGAGGTGATCCCAGGCTAGGCTAGGATAACACTTGATTAGCTTCACCCAGCTAAAGGAAGGTGGGACAGAGTTATGAACTGCCTTTGGAGAGGATAATAATCCGAGGCATTGGTTTGCTGAGAATTCTCAAAGCACGGGGCTATGGGAGTGTTGGCCTCTGGACTGGTAAGACTTGCTCTTGGTGACAGTGCCTAACATCTCATTTATCTGAACAGCACTGCTTAAGGTCACCAGCTCCTCTTGTTCTGTTCTTGTTTTGCAAGTAACTTCCTGAGTACACTACGCATTTCTATATAGATTTACCTATAAAAAGAGAAACTCTGATTCATGCCACAGTACATATTCTGGACTTCACACCTGTTTGTTTTCATGGTTAGACTAATCACTTGATAGCTGGTTTAAAAGTCTGCCTTTTAATGGTGGTGCTCAACTAAAGCTAGCTCCCCTCTCCAAGAAGAAAGAAGATGAGGTGTGGTGGTCTAGGAAAGACATGGAGGGGACCAAGCAAAGGAAGTAAATGAAAGTATAGTAGTGTTTCCCAGGTAGAACTTTGAGATTTAATAATGGATCCAGTAAGTGTTTTGAATAGGAGGGAAGATGCAAGGATGGGGTGCTAGGTAGATAATTGTACCCTTGACAGAGATGGAAGGCAGAAATACAGTGAATTGCTAGAGAAAGGTAACAAACGTTTGATTTTGAAGTTTTTTTGTTTTGTTTTCTTTTGTTTTTGAGAAAAGGTCTCACTGTATAGTTTAGGCTGCCCCTGAACTCACTGTGTAACCCAGGCTAGCCTCAAACTTATAGCAGTCCTCCTATCTCAGCCTCCCAGTGCTGGGATTATAGGTATATGCCATCACACCCAGCTGATTTTGAAGTTTGAGTCTCAGATGGCTGTGTTGATGCAGAGGTCTGGTGTCTAGGTATCGAGGGGTGCAGAGCCAGTCAGGGGTCCAAGACTGCAGAGGATATGGGCAGTGGGCAAGTTCACCCAAAGGAAGCTAAAGATGGTGTTGACAGACAAGGACAGTCTGAACAAGAAGCAAGGGAGGCAGATTGGAGACAAAAGGGAAAGAACAAATCAGTAGTAATGCAAGCAAAGCAGCATGCCACTTTTGCCAAATATTATACGACCAAACAATAAGACTTAACTAATATAATACTTGGACTCAAAATGTAAGAGTTCCTGAAACCCTAAAGGTCTGATTGCCTCTTCAGAAGGGAGACATGAGATTGTTCAAGATCACTCTGAAAGCATCAGAAGATGACTACAGTGTTTTCTGATGAGCAGGCCCACACTTATCCATTGTTCATGCTGCTAACTATTTTCTGAGTATAGCTTTTCAGTTAGTATGTGTCTCAGTTAATGTCTCATCACTAAGATATAGTAGCCCTATAAACTGCCTCACAGTTTGCAGAGGTTTAAGTCCGGAATCGGCTATCTCTAAGGCAGGGTGGCATGAGAGGAATATGGCAGAGGAGCATTGTTCATGGTCTGGCAGGCAGGAAGCAAAGGGAGAGGGATCAAGGGAGGAGGAGGGAGTTAGGTCCTTCTAGGCTACACCCCCAGTGACCCAGTTCTCCAACCAGGCTTCACCTCCAAACATCATATTTAACCATAAATTCATCAGTGGACTAATCCACCAATGAATATCACATCTTCATGATCTAATAACCACCCCCAAACCACACCTGTGACTGCATGAGGTTTTTGGGGAGGACGTCTATACATCAGCTATAACAATATGTTAGTACCATGTTAGAATAGCTAGTACCAGATGTTATGATATTCATTTCAAGTGGACAGCTCAGTCTCACTATCTTCCCACACCCATAGTGACCAGTGTGGCCCCAGGTATTTAGACCATGAGGTGGTCAATTTGATTGCAGCTGATATGAAGGCAGCTTAGTTCAGGTGACCTCAACTGGTCATCCAAGAATTTTGTGTGTGTGTTGTAACTGGGTTAGACTTTGTGAAAGGCTTATTCTCATATTCTCAATTCCCAATTGAATTCTCAATTCCCCCAGGAGTGTGAATTGACATTTGTTGGGAAAATTCTTAGGGATGACAGATTGTTAGTCTGATTTTAGCCCTTTCTTAAGAGCATCCTGGCTTCCAAGTAGAAATTTTTAGTTATTGGTCAGAATGTTGCATGGCTACATTTGTTTTCAATTGTTTCAGTTGGAAGATCCTTGACACAACACAGATTTAACTTACATACACGTGTGCTTACATACCCAGAAGTATTTATGCATATACATATTTATATTGTATATGTATATATGTATTCACATTCAGGTATGTATGTGTGTGTATGTGTAAAATACACATCTCTCTTCACAAGACTTCAAAAAGTGAGTTATGATTTTAAATGTCTGCACAGTGCATCTGGTACATCAGGGCAACTAAATTAATAATGAACTTTGTCAGAAACCTAGGTTTTATTCCCATCTCTCCCTTTCACACACCTTTTTCTACTTTTTATTGAATTTTCCTCATAAACTTGAGAAATAGATACTTTAATTCTTATTTTCAGATGCAGAAACTAAAGAAATCTTATGCTGCAGTTGTAGACATGGGTTTATGGGGTCTGTGATGGTCTCCACTTGTATCCCATGAAAGCTCTGTGGCCTTTTGCAGAAAACTGACACAAGTTAGCATAGTAAGGAAGGAGAAGGTTCCTTCCTTCTGAAAGTCAAATGTGCATACGTTTTGAGAGCTTTGGCACTGCTGGTCTGAGTTTTCCTCACGCAGTCATAGCTTCATGCTCACCAAGTGTCTTCTTGTCTTCTATCTGCTTTCAGGTAAGAAAAAAATAAGGGGCATGTGATTCATTTGACTGTAGCTGAGAATAAATATTTGGCAGTTTTTGCTTCAACCGTACCTGTAAGAACTGTGATATTTACAAGTGCATGCTGCAAAGTCATATTGACTAAATTTATTTTTGGCAGTAAGAGAGTAATGTTGGTCTTATTCCTGTTTTTATCCTTACCTTAGACAGTTGTTAGTTGGAGTATGTTCACTTTTCTGATTTCCATAAATCATGGCCACTTATATGACGTTACCCAGACTTTAGGGTCACAATTAGAAAATTTTCCTACATTCGGAGGAATTCTAGGAGAAGTGAGAGGTATTTTATGGGCGGAATGATCGAATTCATGGACATAGGTTTTTGGCAGATGCCTCTTAAGTAGGTTATAGGGGGCAGGATGGTGTTGGAAGGACTGATGGGAAAGGACAAATGCCAACTGCTGAGTCTGCCCTGCTCGGTGTACTTGACAAATTTAGACACTGTGGAAAAGGAAGGGTAGATCCCTATAAAGGACTGAAGAAAGAATCAGTGTGGGGTTAACAGAACCCATGAACAAAACAAAATCAAATTTAAGAAACTGAACATAGTAGAATCAGAACTAAGTGTAAAATGCATAGAGTATCTGAAACACTTCCAACAACAATTTTAGCTCTAAAAGTGTGAATGTAATGACAGAAAAACAGTAAAATTAGTTACGATCCTTAGAAAGGATGCTGGAGTTATGCTGTATTGCCTTTTCAGAACAGTCAGCAACAGGGTGTCCACAGAGTTTTTTTCTGACACTTTGGGTGTAGTTATCCACTTCCAGTGTTCACTTTAAGACCACTGTGCCCTAAGATGTAGACGAAGGCAACTTTGTGTAAAATGTCATTCATAGCTTCTAGGTGTGAGAGAAGGAAAAGACCTCATATGTTTTTAGTAAGCAAAATTCTTATTGACATTATATTTTGATGTTGAAGTATTTTTAAAATATGGAGAATAAATATAACAAGAAAAAAGACTAATACAACAAAAACGCAATCCTATCTGAATGTATCTTAAAAGAGTAAAATACTACAAAGTCAGCCAAAGTTCCCTTGTGCTTTCTGTTCTCTACCCTTCAGAAGCAATACCTACCCTGAACTTGATGTTTATATTTACACAGTTGTTCTTTGAGTTGTATTTGTGTGTGTATGTGTGCATATGAAAAGTATAGCATTGTATTGCATATATCAGACTTTACATGAGTGCCTAAGACATTTTTAAAATCAGTGATGTAAGGAAAACTCTTCTACTTAAATTAAGTTCACTTTTCAGGGGGAATGAGAAATGAATGCATTTGCCTTCCAGTGTCAGTGACTTTGCATTGTTAGTTCTGTTGCTTCACAAACAGAGAAACAGCTGAGCCTTCAGCAAAAAAGGAAAATATTTGGAGTCCCAGAGTTAACTACTGATAGAGGTAGAAACAATTTCAGGAAATGTTTGCCCCAAACCAGAACCCAAGACTGCATAATCAGCCCACAGTGAGAGTGACATTTTTCCCTTTAGCTGTGGTATTCCTTTAGACTCCGAAACTAAGGCAAGTTTGAAACGACTCTCGGAATTTGGATTGTTAGAGTTTCCAAAAGGAATCCTTAATCTCACCTTTATTTTATTTTTAAAATATGAGGTAGGATCAAACACTACAGAGAATGTTTAAATTTAAAAAATTCGTTAAAGACATTGCCCTTAATCCACTTCAAAATACTCCTCTCACTTTAAACACACTTATCCCATTGTTCTTACCCCTAACTGAAGCAGTTCTGGAGTCCTCTTTCATGCATGCCTCTGGTTTCCCTATCCTGTTGCCTCGGTGTCCTGAATTGATACAAAACATTTACCTGCCGTGGTCACTTTGATTTGGGGCCCCAAAAGTCATCTGGTGAATGAAATGGGCAAAGACACACTGTGATGGTTTGATCAGCCTGCCTTTGTATTGAGTGGCATGTGGCAGTGGCATTTGCCGTATTTTTTATCACACCTCATAAAGACCCTCATGAAAGAGGACCTCCAGAACTGCTTCAGAAATGGGTAAGAATGATCCGGTAAGTGTGTTATAAGTGAGGGGGATAGTTTGAGGGTGGCTAGTGGCAATGTTCTTTTACTATAATAATTTTTTAAAATGTAAACATTGACCATGTATATGGCATGTTTTTGAAACAAAAGTCAATTTGCTCTCTCTAAGGAGCATCTCTGCTGTACTCAGGCAGTAAGGTCAGTGTCCAGGTTAGTCAACCAGAATAATCACAGCTTCAAAAGGAGACTATTTTTTCTAAAAAGTGTTCTCAGGTATAACCATCAACCAGCTAACCAAGACTTTAGGTCTGTCTCCCATTTTAAAAGATGGCACCCACTGAACTTCTAGAAACAAAGTAGAATAGTGGTTCCCCGGGACCAGGGATAGGAACAAAGGGAGATCTGCTCTAAAGGTATAGATTTACAGTTATAAGATGAATCAGTTCAGGTGATCTAATATATAACCTGGCAAGGTAACACATGCTTAAACTAACCTGACCGTGTTAGTCCTTTCATAAAGTGCATCAAATCATCATGATTTATATCTTAAGATCACACAATTTAATTTTTCATTTATACCCAATAAAGCTGGAAAAAACCATGGTATCATAAATATTTTTAAAACACCCCAAAAGCGTAATCTTTGTAGGGAATAGCTTTGGCTAAAAGCCTGTGTCGGGAGTGGGGGTGGGGGAAGAGGAGAATGTGTGTGTAGCATTAATTCCATGCCATGGAATCTACATGATGACATCGGACTCACTGCATGCAAAATAATGCAAGGACCATGTTTTGTTTTACCAATCAATAATTTAACCAACCACCTGAGAAAAATAAAATAAACAAATAAGTCTGAGGCCAGCAACTTTTTAAAAAATTTAAGTGTTGATTTACTTTGTAAAATTTGATGTCTGTACATTAATGAACACGATATTGCCTTTTCAGAACAGACCACATGCAGGGTGTCTACTGAGGTTTTTTCTGAAAAATTTGGTGCAGTTATCCATGTTCAACTTTAAGGCCACAGGTCCCAAGATAAAGATGAAGGAGGCCTGCTGTAAAAACTGGAGATACTTGTTTTCTTTTACCACATTACCCATAAAGGTAGGAGAGTTGCACAGTTCTCTAGCTCCATGTTTTCCTCTATAGAATAAGATGGTAGATGACTCTCAAACTCCCTACCTGGTTGTCAAGAAGAGTCTATGGCTCAAGAAAATAAAAAATTGGAAGATCAGCTAGTTCTGACTTACATGTCTGGAAATGTATTGAACCTATAATAAAGCAGCAAGGACCAAATTCTTACCTTTGGTGAGCTGTTTCCTACCAAGCCATGCAGTTTATGTTCAAGCATCATCTTTGCATAGGCTTGCAGTGGAGTCACTTCACTTTGAGTGTGTGCCTTACACTGTTCAGAGAAAGGAAAAGAAACCACAGAAAGGGAAGTAAAACTCAGATAGCAGCTGACAGAGAAGTTTCATTTTGTGCATTGTAATGGGGAAAAAATTGCAGTGTTATTCACATCAGTGAAAACTTAATTTATGTGTCAAAATCATCAACACTAGCCTGGATTTGAATCCAAAATCCTCCACTTGCTGTGTGTTTTGACAAGTTACTAAGTCCCATCTTACCTGTATGGTGGGAATGACTGTAGTGTCTATCTCATAGGGTTCTCAGAAGATATGAGTTCATATACGTAAGACTCTTCTGAATAGGCAGAACCAATATAGTCAGAAGGGCCATACCTCCAAAATTGTTATACAGATTTAATACATTCTTAATCAAAATTGCAACAGCACTCTTCACAGAACTAGAGAAAATAATCCTAAAATTCATGTGGAACCAGAAGAGACCCAGAATAGCAAAAGCCATCCTGGGTAAAAGGAGCATGGCTGGGAGAATCACAATTTCAGACTTGAATTTATATTATAAAGCTACTATGATAAAATAGCAAAGTATTGGTATAAAAACAGACCTGAGGATCAATGGGACAGAAGAGAGGATATAGAAACAACCCTAAGTACATTGAATTATTTGATCTTTGACAAAGGGGCTAAAAACACACACTGGAGGAAGGACAACCTCTTAAATAAACAGTATTGGGAAAACTGGCTACACACATGCAGAAGACTGAACCAAATGCATTGTCTCTTACCATGTACTAAATAAAAAAAAAAATGAATCAAAGAACTAAAATGTTAAAACAGAAACACTTAACCTGCTGGAAGACAAGACAAGTAAGACTCTTGAAAGTCATAGGCATAGGCAAGAACTTTCTGAATAGAACACCAACTGCATGGGAAATAGTTCCAAGAATCAACAAATGGAATCATATAAAATTTAAAAATCTGCTGCACAGCAAAAGAAACAACCAGCAGAGTAAAAAGACAACCAATATAATGGGAAAAAAATTATGCCAGCTGTTCCTCAGACAGAGGGCTAATATCTAGAATATATAAAGAACTAAAACAATTAACTCTGAAAATAAAAGACCCAATCAAAAAATAAGCAAGCAAAATGAACAGACAGTTCATGAAAGAAGTACAAATGGCCAATGAATACATGAAGAGATGCTCGTTTTCTCTGGCCATTAGAGAAATGCAAATTAAAACAACACTGAGGTTCCATCTTACCCCAGAATGAATGACCATTATCAAGAAATCAAATAATAACAAATGTTGAAGAGGCTTCAGGGAAAAAAGAACTCTTCTGTGTTGTTTGGTGGAATGCAAATTGTACAACCACTAAGGAAATCAATATGGAAATTCCTCAAAAAACTAAAATTAGAAATTCCATTTGCCACAGCTATTCCCCTTTTAGGTATCTTCCTGAAAGAGTTAAAGACCTCCTGTTAGAGTGATACATACATATCCATGTTTATAGCAGCACAATTCATAATAGTTAAATTTTGGAAGTGGTCCATATATCTATCAACAGATGACTGGATAAAGAAAATGTAGTGTTCATGTGTGGTAGAGAACTGCTCTGCCATAAAGATAAACTTGAGTCCTTTAGAGGAAGATGGATACACCTTGAGATCATAACGTTAAGTGAAATAAATCAGACACACATGCTTAAATATCACATGGCTTTTCTTATATGAGGAACTCAGAGTAAAACTAAAGAGCAAAATAAAAGATAACAGAAAATGTGGAGATAGATCATTCCCTCAGGGAAAAGGTACGAAGAGATGAAGGGAGCGGGGAAGGAGGGAAAGGATAGAGGATGAAAAAAAGAACTGGGATGTGTTGTGTAACTGTGCTGACTCCACACAAGGAATGTAAACATTGTGTACGAAACACATGTTCTAGTGACCTGTGGGAAATCTGTAATTCTTGTATACGCGGACCAAAGTAAGTGCTCAAGAAATGCCAGCTATTATTATTACTATTTTATAAAATAGGTGTTCTCCAAAGAAAACTTACTGTGAGTAAAAAAGGAATTCAAGATGACTGTTTCTTTTAAGCTTGAAACCCTGATTATATCTTGTTAAGAGTTTGTGGAAATGCCAGACATTATGGCTCATACCTGTAATCCTAGCACTCTGGGAGGCTAACAGGATTGCAAGTTCAAGTCCAGCTTGGTCAACTTACAGACTTAGTGAGACATTGTCTCAAAAGAAGAAATGATTGGGATATAGCTCAATGAGAAGACCTTGGTTCAATCCCCAGTACCAAAAGATTAAAAAAAACCATGTGCAAGTGAGTGTATCAGAAATAGTATAGAAGTGTCCTTGTAAGTTTTTATAAACCCAGATGTACTGTACTTCATTGAAGGTGTATAAAAGCTGAGTGTAATGTTGTACCTTTCTTAATATCTTACAAAATCATCAGCTTATGAGTTGTGATTAGAAAATAGGTACACCACTTTGTGCTTAGCAAGAAAATGACTGACTTATGTAAATGTCAATAAATAGTCTATACTAATTTATTCCTAAATATATTGTTTGTTTATCTAACTGCCTATTTTTACTTCATCTGTAATAATTTCTAAAGCAAGATGATTTATATTGTGTTAAATCTGTGAAAGAAATATTTCCATGCCATAGATAAGAACTCTAGTTCAAATTGCTTTATATACTTGATAATAAATGAGGTACTAGTGTTCATTTGTTTTTGTTTAGATGGTAAAAGAATTGAAGCGAGAAGTGTGTCAAAATTAATTCAATTGTATAATGAAAAGAATCACAAATTTTTTGTGCTTGAGAATATTTTGTGCCCAATAAAAATAATTTTATTATTTAGACCATTCCAAAGTTGTCTTTGATTCCAAATTCTTATCATATTAATTATTTAAAAATTACATTGGCTATATTTGTAGTACCTCTCCCTTTTCTTGTTTATATTTGCATAATTCCTGAAGATAGTTGACATTATTTAATCAAGGACTCTTTCAGTTAAAATAAACTTAAATAAAGGAAGGGACCACTCCATATTCTTAGTAAGAATTTGGAGGTCAGGAAAAAAAGTTTGGAGGTCAGTTTAGGAGTTATTTGCAAAGCACTATGTTTGCTATCAGAAATGAAGATATAAATAAGACTCAGTCCTACTCTTTTAACCTACAAGCAACTCAGAGGTTTTTAGCATTAATAGAAGATTTCAAAAGGAGGTAAAGAAAAGAACATCAGAAGATTGCAGTGCTTGGGCCAGGGATGTAGCTCACTGGCACAGCACCTGCCTGGCAAGCGTGAGGTCCTGAGTTCAATTCCTGGTACCAAAAAAAGATTGCAGTGCTTTCAGTGTTGCACCACTCAGATGGCTTCAAAGAACAATCATCACTTGACATCAGCCCTGGTGTTTCAGCAGGGACAGGGATGAGTGTGTAGGACAGAGAAGAGCGTCTGGGTGGTTTCTGTTGTCTTCAGTTGATAAAGTTAGTGTTAGTTTAACTGCCCATTATAGTCTGGATCTTTAATGACTCCAAAGGCCCATGTGTTAAAAGGCTTGATCCCCAGCTATGGTGCTATTGGGAGTTGGTGGAGAGGTGGGGCCTAGCAAGAGGAACTTAGTTCATTAGGGGTGTGCACTTGAAGGAGACACGTGGACCCTAGCCCCTTCTCTTCGCTTTGTTTCTTAGCTAATAAATGGTGAACAGGTCTCCTCCACTCCCACAGTGATGTACTATGCTGCCACACGCCCAAAGCAGCAGGGCCAATCCACCATGAACTGAACCCTCTAAGACTGTGAGCTGAAACAAACCTTTCCTCCTTGTACATTGAACGTGTGAGATACTTTGTCACAATAATGGAAAGCTGACTAGCACACTGACCTCATATTGAAAAGAAGTACCAATGCAGGCTTCCCTTGTTCCAGATTTGCAATGAGTTATTTTCTGTTTGCTAGAGACTATTTGCATTGTGTGACATCCATTCATATCCACTAAGTTAGAAAACCATTTTGGCTGCATACATTATCTTTGATTTTTAGTTGTGTCAAGTCAGCCAGAGGCAGCATAGCCTAATGGTTAAGAACTTAGATGCTGAGATCACACTACCTAGCTTCCAGTCCTAACTCTCCCTTATTAGCTGTATGGGCTTTGGCAAATTATTAAACCACTTTCTGCTTATTTCCTCATCTGGAAGAAAAAAAACAATACAAATGATGATAATAGTGTCCACTTCATTTTGTGAAATAGTTGCATTAAATAAGTTCTTATTTCTAGAGTGCTTAGAAAACATTGTGGTACAGAGAAAGCAGTTCATAAGTGCTATGAATAGAATTACTCCCCTCTGCCTGCCCTGTTCTCTCCAGAAAGGCATGCTAAGTTGATCTCAGGGTCTCCTCTGTTTTTTTTCTTGTTCTGCCTCCTCTGTAGTTCAGGATCCCTGTGTCATTTGGGTGACATTCAGCAGCAAGTTATGAGACCTCAGCACTCTGATTCTCTGCTTGTGTGGCACATTTGATTAGTCTTGATTTTAACAAAGAGTCCTTGCCAGCCTTGTAGTATAAAAAGCCTGATTCAGTGGGTGGTAGTTTTTATTAACTTCCTATTTAATTTTCAGGTTTGTTGGATATAAAAGATTTCTCTAGCCAAGCACACTGGCTTCTGTAGGCAAGGGAGTGTGCTCTTATCCTCCAGAATTTGACAGAGACCTTTAAAGTCAGTGTTTGTTCTGGTTTTGCCCCTTCACAACTGCACAGCCGTGGGCAAGCTAATCCCTAGGCTGCTGGTGTCAACACAGCTTTCTGTTCTGAAGTCTTTGGCATGCTGGGGTCCTTCTGAGTGCCTTCTGCAGACAGCTTAGGACTCAGCCCCTGTTCCAGCTCACTAAGCTAGCATCTCTTGTCTTTTCTGCTTTCCAGGGTACCGAATGGAGTCACTACCGCCATACTGTTTTCTTGTCCCTGAGAGTTATGCTTCACTTAGCGAGGTCCCTCTTCTGCTAATTCACTGGTACATTCATAAGAGCATAGAGGAATATTTGTGTTCAACTTACTGTTTTTAGCCAGGATTCATCTTTAAGTTTTTATAAAAATGCATGTGTCTTGTAGTCAAAACAATAACATCTTTTGTGACAACGAATTTGATGCACTTCTTCTTCATTGCATGTTTTCATTTAGCCTGAGGATTCATGCCTTGATTATTGTTAAATATTGTATATTATTACCTGAGAACAGTTGCATTTAATTTAGCAGTGAAATTTGGGCATTTATTTATGTTACTATGTACAGTCTTTTTATTCTAAGATTATACTTTTTGTGTCTGAGGTTTTATTTGTACCTTGATGGATTTGAATTGGCCTGAGCAAGTTTTTAGCTATTTTTTTGTAACTTTTTAGTAAGCATTAACTAGTAATGTGTTTTCAGAGCTTTTGATTATGAAAATATATGTCAAACTCCTTTACAAATGAAAGGCAGCTTGACTGGCAATAGCTTTCTTTGATTGAGTCTTCTGTTTCCCTGTCATTTAGAAAATTGGGAGAAATTTAAGACCAACTAGATATTCGCTCCCTTTACAGTGACTCATTTTTGTTTGATTTATGTGTTGACCTCTTTTTCTTTTTATGCCTAAATACTGGGGATTTTTAGTTTTACTTTCACCACAGTATTCAAAATTATTTTCAGAATATACCTTTGAATTGATATGTTTTGGAATACAGTATAGTTCTCTTCTTTAGTTCAGTTTTGTCTTTGTGATTATTTCAGTTCTTTACTTGTATTTTCTCAGAAACATTGTAACTAGGCTTTATTTTTTGGTCTCAAGGATCTAGGATTCTTTCCCACCTGTGGGCCTTATTAGCATGTTTACTCTTCATCTATATCAATGATTTAATTTCCACCGTGTGTCTACACCCCACACCCCCACCTCATGAGAGATGCTGTGCTTCATTTTTGGAATCTGTGTAATGATCCTTTTTTTAACCTATATTCTCTTTTTGTCTTGCCTAGCAATCTCTGATTGATTTAGAGCATTCTACTTTTGTTTTTTCAGATCATATCTTCTTGTATTGTGTGATAATGCCAAATACTTGGCATTGGAATTACTTCCAATTCCTATAGAAAATCATCTTCAGGAAACTGTTTTTGCTTTGAATCTTTAGCATGCTTCTTATTTTGCATATTCAGCACTGCTTAATAGATTCATGCTGACATTTAGCTGTTATTTTTCCTGTATTCCTGAATTTTGAAATACCCATCTAGACCTGCTCACAGAAAGCATGCATGTATTTTCCTTGGTCCTACTCTCTGTCCTCCTGTCTGTTAATAAAATTCCTCTTTACATCTCTCACCTTATAGCAGGTTGATGTTTACAGGTGCTGGCCCATTTTCAGTGGACTAGAAGAGTTTCTTATAAAACAGCTATCTCCAATGCCTTGTTCTATGTTACCTTATACAGTATATGAGTTACATAAGAATGCAACACTTTCAAAATCATCCCTAAATCTGCTTTTCTGCAACTAAAACTGCCAGGCTGCAAAGTACTTCCCTTTCTTTCCAGTTGTTTAAAAAATAAAGAGTCACTAGCTGGACCTGGGGAATGGAGGATTTCCTGCCATCTCAGAAAGAACTATCATTCATGACAAAGAGCTCTCTAGGTTTCTGACTGACAGGGATTTTTGTGTTTCTGTGCAGAGTAGCAAAAGTGGAGAAAGGGTAGATGTGCTGATAAGAAATTTCCTATTTCCTTTAAGGTTCATAGTTTGTTCTCTGCCCTTCTAATCAAACCTTTAAATGTAATTTTAATCATTTACTATTGTAAGACTTCTTCCCTAATTTTAGCAATAGGTTGAAGGCCATGTTTTACTTTTTGTGGTTACATGCAGGATTACTTACCTTTTTCTTTAGAGAAATTTTAGTGGAAAGTTGGAAGAGTCTATCCTAAGGGCTGGCAGCAAGCATTTAAAACTGTCTTTATATGAGATTCTACAAATAAAAAAAAAACTTTTTCATGTTGCAAAATGCTTGAAAATTTTGCTTCCTGAAGATGTTTTGTGGAAATAAACTCTGCCTTGTAAATATTCATCACAAGTTGTGATTTAAAGGACGGAGGCATCAGTGTTCCTGTAATAGAACCCATGTCTTATGAAAACTGGGTCATTTTAGTGATGAAATAAAATGCATATACATAAGTAATGCTAGGAATTCCAATAGCTTCTATAAAATCTTTATTATACATAAAATCTACCTGATCACTGCCTGCTAACAATAGTCTTAGAGCTGAAACAGCTGTTATAAATCATTTAATAAAGGAGTTGCAAATTCACTTGCCTCCAGGAGATAGAAAAGGAAGGCAAATCCATGGAGCAGGATTGTTCCACAACAAGGACAGGCAGGGACTACAGAAAAGTTGAGATTATTTGTACTGCCAAATCATTGAGTCTTTTTTTTTTTTTTTTGCACCAGGAATTGAACTAAGGACCTTGCCCTTGCCAGGCGGGTACTGTGCCACTGAGCTACACCTCTGGCCTCCCTTGAGTCATCTGTAGAGTTAGAAACCCACTCTCTCATTATAGAGCTTGGACAGAGGTCAAAGGATATTAACAGATTCCCCTAAATTAGGAGGATCTATAGACTTAATCAGTTACATTATTTGTAGGATGCAATACAAAATAAAATATAGGACTCCTTGTTCCACAATTAAGAACTGCCGGATGGTGACCCCAGAGCCTTAAACCAAGCATGGCGTCCTGTTTCTGCATAAATCACAAGCCTCTGAGTGCATACTGGTTTTAACTTCTGATCAAGAGTTTATAGTCCAGAGAGATGAACACAGATACTCTCACCCATATCCACCAAGACATTGATAATGGAGGTGAGGTTAAAATGAAGTTGATAAAATTAAGTTTGATATTATGTAGGCAAACCCTCTTTACTTACAAAAGAGCATTAGTATGAGATTTGAGAATCATTGCTTCTCAACTGTTGTTTAGGAACTTTGGCTATATCATAATTCCTTCCATGGGTTTTTACTGTTCCTTCTTGAATTCTGGTTTTATGAGTTATTTGTTGAAGATTTCTCACTGTGAAGTTCAAAGATCTCTAAAAGTTCTAAAAAATTCCAGAATACTTGAAGCAAGAATCAGCCCGGAAATGGGTCTGCTTGTGAAAGCCTAAGGACACTTGTGTGTGTGCTTGAGTCTTACCCAGTTATTGGGAAACCTATATCATTATTATAAACCTATATCATTAAGTACCAGAAATAAAATGGGAACTAAGTGCTCGCTTCGGCAGCACATATACTAAAATGGGAACTAAGAACCAGGGCAAGAGGTTTTTTAAAAAATTTCTTTTTATTTTAAAGAGAAAAGAACAAAAACAAAATAACAAAAACAGAACAACACCAAAACAATAAAAACAATGCAGAATTTCGAAAAAGATGATAGGAAATTCACAATGGTTGTTATATAACATATTGTTATCTTCAAAGTAGTTGTTCAGTTTACCAGATATAGGCATGCAAGATTGATTAACAATTAAACATTAAGTGTTCCTTTCAGTAAAACAATAGAAATTAGTAGTATAATTTATATATATATATAAAATATATATATAATATATATATACATACACAATGGAGTATTACTCAGCTATAAAGATAAGCTCAAAGCTTTTATAGGCAAGAGCTTTTTTGGTAATCAACAAACAAACAAAAAAACAAAAAACAAACAAACGAATATACACATACCTCACATTTAAAAATATTTCAATCATTGAAATCATTTAAAATTTTAAAAATTGAAAATTTTTCTTCCTTAAATAAGTGAGTCTACCAGCTCGACCTAAAATAGTACAAGATTGTTTTTCACAGTTGTGATTTGACCTTGGTCTATATGGCTTCCTTTAGCAACATTCACACAGATATTAATAAACAGTTAGTAATAAAACAAACATTCTTACCTAATTTAAAAACATTGAGGCTTATGTTTTTAAAACAAATATGAAGTTAAGTCAAGGTAACTAGTATCTGAATCAGACAAGTAATTCCAATACGTTTGTATTGTTGAACTGTATTCCTCCGTGAGTGAGTCAAAGAACATTCACGTGCTGGGGAAGGAGCAGCCAATGGGCAAATCAGTATCTAACTGAAAGTTATGAATGTTTATTGATGTTTAAAACCTTCGCTGTAAGCCATGCACCTGAAACTCTGTGGTTAGTGAGCAGTTGCTCGTGAAATTTAATCCTTGTTGGGGGGGATATAATGAACTATTTTTTCCTCCTGCTTTTCAGGATATGCTGTGAAATATGTAAGCTGAATATTATAGAATTTTTTTAAACCTTCTACAGGTGGAGATTTTCCTTTTACCTGTATGTATTTACCTACGGAGTTCGGTTCCTGAAAAAGGTAGGATCTGACAGATTACTTTATATAATTTCTATGTAAGTTATATCCCACTTTTAAGATGTGGTTACATTTTAAACCATCATAACAGGCCTTTTAAGAATTATTTGTGCATTCCTATATAAAGATTTTTGCACTTCGTTGTTTGTAGTAAATTATTTTTAGGCATTTATCTAAACTACTTTTGAAGGGGCTGGGGATTTAGCTCAGCGGCAAAAGCGCCTGCCTGGCAAGCGCAAGGTCGTGAGTTCAGTTCCCGGTACCGGAGAAAAACCAAAAAAAAAAAAAAAAAAAAAAACTAAACTACTTTTGAAAACAATTTGTTTTTCCAGTGAAAGATGTTGCTAAGTACTATAGTTGGTTATTTATTTAGTTTTTTGCATTAGGAACTTTCTAAGATCCAGCTGGTCCTATGAAAAAGGGTAGAATTTCTACGTCACATTTCATACAACTTGATATCAGTTATTGCAATGTGTGTCATCACTGCAGAATTCAACAGCAGAAAGCACTATTTTCATGTTTTGCATTAACAGGGCAGCACCAACTGCTGATGGCAAGTGCAGTTCCTTCCACAGTTGTGCTTTCCTTCCTACTGCTTTGCTAAATCCTGCATGAACTAGGGCACCTTAATCTATGGAAGTAATTCTTTGTGGCTCCATGGCCTTTTTGCAGGTTATTTTAGTGCTTACTGATACTACTAATGGTTTAGGGTACTTAAATTTAACATTCATGGAGACTTATTTTCTAATAGTGACATTAATAAATTTGGTATAAGATAGGAAATGATTTTTAAAAGTACTTTATAAAGGTGGGCCTGGGGGCACAAGCTTGTAATCCCACAACAGGGAGGATGAGGCAGGAAACTGCAAGTTTGAACCCAGCCTGGGCAACTTAATGCAATCCTGTCTGAATAAAAAACAAAAAATTTGGACTGGGGATGTAATCAATGCAAAGACCCTGGGTTCAATCCCAAGCACTGCCAAAAATAAAGTACTATATAAGACTAACCTCTAAAATGTTATCACTGTTAACAGTGAACTTCATATTTGTTTTAAAAACATAAGCCTCAATGTTTTTAAATTAGGTGAGAATGTTTGTTTTATTACTAACTGTTTATTAATATCTGTGTGAATGTTGCTAAAGGAAGCCATATAGACCAAGGTCAAATCACAACTGTGAAAAACAATCTTGTACTATTTTAGGTCGATAACAGTGATATCGATAACAGTGATAACAAAATATATCTAAAATAAGGCAAAAATCCAAAAATATATCTAAAATAAGGCACATGCCAAGTGGCATGCCTTACTAGTAAATCTTTTTACAAATATTGACTTGAAAATTTAAAATGTTTTTATTTTAAAAGTTTGAGTTATCAGATGTTGCTGCCTCTGGGTGAATTCTATTGTAAACAGCACTTTCCTATGATCGTAGTTTCCTAAAGGAAATAGTCTTTTTGCCGCTTGTTTTTTCCTTTAGTATCTGCACTTTGTTCACTTAATAAGAACAAGTGGCTCAGAGGCCATTGGAATAGACTTAAATGGATGGACTTCACTCTGAAAGTATGAAGAAATTCTCAATGGGAGTGAATAACCATGGTGGAAGCTGCTTATTTGAGAACCCTACTATTCTCACTTTTAAACTTGCCTAAAAAATATAGAACGGCTGTAGGACATTTATACTTACAACTTTATTACCTTGGAAGGGGAAATAGCACTGGAGGGAATTTCAGCTGATCTGGGAGGGTTGTGCTTCAAGAGAATGTGTTCTTGCTGATCAAGGACGAGATTTGGAATTCATACCCGGTTCTGTTGGTGAGAGGCTCTGCTGGGACGAAAGGCAAGACAGCGGGGCCAGGAGAGCGTCTTTCCTTTCCCCAGGCCTGCTGGGCATGGTTTGCTTTAGCTGTCGAATGGGAAGTATGGCTCTCTGACGTCAGAACAGGAAGCACTTTCTTTGACACTTAGCTCTGGCTCACTTTGTTCCTGAACACACTGAACAGAATGAGAATAGCTATTGTTCACCAGCCCTGAGTGTACCTTGAAGCAGTAAGAAAAACTCTCCATAGCGCGTTTGCATGGAAATTGTTTCTCTTTAAAGACTGTCGATTTCATACTGGAGTCCTTTCAACTGCCTCTGGTTATAACAAATGCTTAGAAAAGGAAAAAAGAACTACATATTGCTCTGGTTGAATTAATTTGTATTGGGAGTTTCTAGCTATAATGCTGTCTAAGCATCATTTGGTTTTGGATATGCTGCATGATTTTGTGTTCCTTATAATATATGGGAGAAACGTGGGTATAGAAACCATGTGACTTCATAATTTTGTCCAACCCTCTTAATTCACAGTCAAGGAAGCAGAATTCCAAAGAGGGTAGATGGCATTCTGAAGGTTACACAGCTTGTTTATTAAAGACCAAAACTCATTATTCCAGGGCTTTCTGACCACTTTACCAGCCTGGTCTAATTTCAGCCTGATTTCCAAATGACTTTCTTCTTTGGTTGACGTAATCAGCTCTTTATTCCAATTTATATAACTTCAAATAAATACATTATTAGATATTTATGATGTTTTTAATTAACTTGCTTGGAAAAGACAACATACTTACCCATCTAAACCAAGAGAAAAAATTATTGTGAATTCAGCATCAAAAATAATCTAAATGATTCAGGTTTTTATAATATTGTAAATATTTAAAAAGAAAATACATGTTCACCAAAAGAGCATAACTTTATCCTTGTGTTCAGTTTTCTCCAAAAAGCATAATGTGAAAATTCTCACAATATCAGAGTAATGGACCAAGTTTTAAGAGGTGAGAGGCTATCACTGCCTCTTATTCTCACCATAAAAAATGTGGGTTTTATGTGGACTGTTGGCAAAATTCTTTGCACTTTGCATACACAGGTTCTTTCTGCCTTTCAGTCAGAGAAACCTGTTACGATTCATCTTCTCAGGTGGATTAAGTGGGTACCTCGTTTACCCTAAAAGAATAGGGAAGTAGACACTATGCAGTGTTTATCTTACAGACAAAAAAGTGAACTCTTAAGCACCAAGTCATTACTAGATTGGTATAAAGCACTTAAATAATTGTTAGTAATCCTGTTTTCATATCATCTGCTCCTGTTATTGCTGTACATAAGTGACTGCCCATAAATACAGTTGGCAGAAACAAATATTTTTGTAAAAGAAGATTCATAAGTACTTGAGGTGCTCTGAAGTCCTAACATACGATATACTCATACTGATACAGGAAAATAAAAACTCCCAGCCTGAATGATATCTGGGACTAGTTCCTGTTCTCTAAAATCAAAGAATGAATTTTAGGAACAATGGAGGTTAAGTCATAGGTTTTTCCAGCACAGAGAGAAGTAAAGCAGAATAAAATACCTTTATTGTGGGCACAGAGAAGACCACAAGGAAAGAGAGAGAAAGAGAGATGTGGAACTTCTTAGGGTTTTTCCTGGGGTCCAAGGTTCAATAGCCCCAGGCTGGAGGTGGGGTTTAGGAGGCAGACTGCCTGACATGGCAGACCAGGATTGGGTGGGAGGGTGAGAAAAGGGAACAGGATATTACAAAAAGGGAAGTAGGAAGTCGTATTGACTCAGTGGAAGAAGAGTGGGGCTTAGCACATGGCCTCTAGTGGACAGTGCCTTATTGGCTTTATGCCATAGTGACTCAGCACCATACCACATGACCTCCAGTGCCATATCGGCTGGGTGCCATAGCAACTCAGCAAAAATTACAGTGGGGCAAGAAACCAATCATTAAGAGAATATATTTATTGAGGGAAAGAAAACTTCTGCCCAAGAGAGGAACAGAAGGTGGTCCAAGTGGGTTGCCAAGGACCTTGCCCTTCCCAGAGACTTTATAGAGCAAAACCCTGAGGTGGGGCAGGTTCAAGATAGGAGGAAAATGGGAAATTACAAGATGGCAGGAGGTGGGAAAGAACTATGGTCAACCAATAAGATTACAAGTGTAATAGTTCAGGTAAAATTGAGCAAACAGATCAAATGGGGAAGCGAATCAGGTAGCAAGCAGGCATGAGTACAGAACAGGGGCTTTTCCTGTAGGGGGTTGGGCTAGTGACTCTTTCTGGCTTTTTGAAGGTGGTTGTTACTTATTTAGATTATCAGTCCCTGATGTTCACACCTAGGGAGGTATGTGGGTGCATTTGTTTAGTCCTTTTGTCTTGAGGTCTGGCCCACAGGTATCTTACCTTGTCTTTCATGTTTGCTCCTTTGAGGGCCTAGCCCTGTCTGCCTTCCTATAACATTTCTATCTAACTTAGCTGCCTATAACAATACAAATCATCCAAGTTTCCTAGATCTAGAAAAGAACCACATATTATGCTTTAAAAACTATCTCTTATGTACTGTTCCTTTTATTTTCATTTATTTATGGAAATTTCTATTGGATGGCGTCCTTTAAATACCTTGGAGTCCCTGGATTTACTCACTTAAAAAAAAATAGATCACAGGAAGGCAATATACATTTTTGTGCTTCTAGAATTTAAGTAAATATTTTTCTCACAATCTACATGTTAAGCTAACTTATTTCCAACTTTTTGACCATATGAACATTTTATATCACAATTCTTTCTCCATGCATGCATGCATATAATTAAAAGAAAGTTATTCAACATATTCCTATACCCAACTTTGTATTCATTTGGGGCCAATTAGAAGACAGAAACCACAAGAGGTATTTTAGGAGTTACTATAATATGAAAAATCATTAAGCAAGGGAACCACTAAGTCTATATTCCTCAAGGTAATAGAATTGCCGACTATGGACTCGGAGTTTGATGACCTAAGGAGCTTGCACTTGGATATAAATTAACTCACTGCTTCTTTTTAGTCTGCCTATGAAATCAGATCAGCTGAACTAAACTGTGCCTAGCGATATAATTAATTTACACTCTGGTGTAAGCTCCTTTGTCGTTGTGGACCTGTGACAATCATTACAGGAACTGGTTCTTTCCATTAGTGCTATACTGAGGTGT